CAGCGATGTATTGCCAAGCCTGCGGCTGCTCCCCGCACTTTGAGGGTATGATTGTCCTAGCCAGGCATGGCGAACAAATTGCTAGACAGATTTTAGAAGCAGCGAAATTCAGAAGCTGGGGGACAAATGTGTAAGCAGGCCTCCCATTACCCCCTCAAGTAAGGAAATAAGCTACCTAGAGCGCATGGCTTTTTAATGGTTCTAATCTGTGCTTTACACTCTTCTTATAATTTTTTTTACTTCTCAACGTTTTAGATCTTGTTTCTTTGTCTGTGCATTTTTACTGAATGCATAAGTATCTAGATGGAGAGGTACAGTAGAGTAAGAAGGACGACTCATTTGCGCTTCCTGAAAAACCACTAGTCTTCTGAGGCCTGAAATTGCATTTGGAAACTTGCACTTCGTGTGTACAAAGGGAGTAATTATTGCTGGTGTATTTTCTTCTCCCCTGCTCTCCTCATCAGGCTGATGCTGGTGGTGGGCAGCAGGCAGCAGCAGCTGCAGCAGCAGCAGCCCAGCAGGCCTCGTCCTTTGTACCTGGCTCTCTAGCAGGACCGACCATAGGGCCATCGTACCTGTGGAACTACATCATGCCCACACCAGTGGGCCCCATGGGTGCTACTGCAGCAGGACCACAGCCACCCCCACTGCTGTACATGGGTACCAGCCAGTCCATGGTGGCCCCTCAGCTGGAAAACTTGCTGCGACAGCAACAGCAACACCAACAACAACAACAGCAGCAGCAGGAGAAGCAGCTGCAGCAGCAGCAGCCACCACAGCCACAGCCTACTGAACCTGGCAAGGTGGCCAGCACTCCTGCTGACCTTTACCAGGGGGGTCCATCACCAGCAATAGCACCTCCATCACAGCCAACTTGGATGCCTCAGCAGCGTGCGGAAGTAAGCAAGACACTTATAAAACTCCATGCATGGAACACGCAACAGTCATTAAGGGGAGACATTGGTCTTGAAAAATTTTATTATTTGTCTTAATTGAATGAAACTTAATGCACTTATTCAGTTTCTTCTGCAGATTCCAAGTTTCTAAGTAGATTTTCGGTAGCTGCATCAGAACAGAAGATAATAATTTGTTTTATCTTACACAATTAGCATATTTATTATGGAGCTTTTTGGCAATTTCACTATCTCAAACACAAAAAGCAAAGTATATATCCAGATTGCCAGAGAGTTGGTCTAGCCGATGATGCTAATTTCATTATTTGCAACGAACTTCAACTGTGAAATAAATGGATACAAGCGTCAGTGAAAGATTTCTGCCACATATTATTTACAATCATCATAAATTACAATTCGGTGAACAACCTATAGAAGAAAATGAATAGCATCATCGGCCAGATCTATTCAATACGAACACATTGGTGTTAAGCTTGTTATTGGGAGTCAATAAAAACATGTCAAAATGCCCATAAGGCTATGTGTTATATCTAAAAACATGAAACTGAGAAAAATGCATTTGAAGTTTTAGTTTCCTATAAATTGATGTGGTATTGCAACATAACTGTATTGATTGATTGATTTGTGGGGTTTAACGTCCCAAAACCACCATTTGATTATGAGAGACGCCGTAGTGGAGGGCTCCGGAAATTTTGACCACCTGGGGTTCTTTAACGTGCACCCAAATCTGAGTACACGGGCCTACAACATTTCCGCCTCCATCAACATAACTGTATAAATGGCACCATTATGTAGCTTTGTCCTTCAGGAACAATATATTGCCTTATATGTTACAACAATGTCACAGGAATCGTGAAAAATTTGCAGTATTAGCATGCATAGTCCTTGAATATAGTGCGAGAAAGCTGCTACCAAGCACTTCACCATTGTAATTCAGCTTGATATGCACACTGTAACTTGCGTACGTGGTTTAGTGTGTGTAGCAATTATGAGATAAGATCGTGGGCTAGCCTTTTGATGCCAGTCAATTCCACGTCCCACGTGAGCTCTCAATTTGATAAATTACTCAATTAACTCAAGGCATATATATACATCTCGTAATGCTTTGCTCAAACCTCGAAGTCTAGTGTCATATGAACTCGATTCCTGCGCTATGTGTGAGATCCAACGGAATTTTCCCACCATTTTCTTTAGTCGCATACCATCGTACATCACTCCCATCCCCTGCACACACGCACTTATGAAGGCAGACGTTTCATTGATAACTAAAGGCTGGAATGCTCAATTGGTTGCACCAGAGGAATAACGAAAAAAAGATGATGTAATAAGAAACATGCCTCCTCCCCCCTTCTTTTTGCTACTTCAAAGCTGCCTCTACTACATTTGTTAACTTGGAAAGGGACCAACCTCATTGTATACTTGATAATATCTGAGGTATTATATCCCCAAAACCACAACATATAGGAATGCCGTACTGGAGGGTTCGGGAAATTTCGATCATCTGATCTTCTTTAATTTGCACCATTGCACAGCACACGGACCTCGGGCATTTCGCCTCCATCGAAATGCAGCTGCAGGGTCGGGATCGAACCTGTGTTGTTCGGGTCAGCAGCCGTGCACCGTGACCACTACGTTATTGCGGCAGTCTCATATCTCTGCTGCGTATGCAGAAAGCTCCATGCAGCGACGACCTTCTTTATGGCAAGCTTATGATTAACAAGTTAATGCGTGGGGTAGGAAAAAAAAAAGCGGGAGATCTCTTACCTGCACATTCGCTAACGAAAATTAAACGGAATCGAGGAGGTCGGTTCGGATGGCTACGACAATCCATTGGTATTCAGCGCCACTGCAGGGAAGACGTCCAAATAAATCAATGCCGACACGGTTGAATGGATGGGCTAGACAGGGAAGTGGCCGGAGAGGTACTGCGGAGAGGTGCGAAACTGGTTTGCTTCATTGGCAGGCAATGCAAGAGCGGACATACTTGCAGACAAAGTTGTACATGTCACGCCAAAAATACTGTCAACTGAGCTGCACTGTGTGTCATTGTGAAGAGCAAAATACTGTGCCTGGCATCGCAGCATACGAGGTGCCTACACTGGGGCTCTTTGATTTCTTACTTCTGGCTACCCGTGGGCTGCCACAGCCAGGCAGAGTGTGCTCGTTTTTTGTCGGGTTGCTCCGTCCCCCCCTGCGGCGCACTTTCAGTTGGTGTTTGTTTTTCTCGGGTTGGACAGTTCTGGCGACCTGCGGGGAGTCCAAAGGTCGCCAGAAGCATCCAGGACAATTTAGTTGTGGAAGCTCTATGGAAGGTTTCAGGCTAACAGACGCCGAAAAAAAAAAAAAAAAAAGATGATATACGTGCGCCGCCATCTTTATGAGGACTCGGCGGATTGCAGTGCGAGCACTTGGGGATTGTGCTTTCGCTTGTCATTACGCGGGGCGTTATCTTATAAAGCCCATTCCACCGTGCGAGATGGGGCGATTACGAGTGATGGCGAGCATCAGAAACTACAGTTCATCGCTTTGTTACGTTTCCCGGAAGCTTCCTTCCGGGAACAATGCGAAAAACTGATGCCTGCTAACTGCGTTGTGCACACGTCCCAAAAGTTATGTGCGTGCTCTTTCGTATGAATGCATGGAAACAACTTCAGCGTTTATTTTTTTCGTAGTTGTATTTGTTTATGGTGTCGTGCCTGCTTCCTGTGCACTTAGTACAGATGATTTTGGTCGAGCTTACCATTTTGGTTTGTCGTACATTCATGTGCATGAATGTCTTCACTTAGCTATTTGGTCTTTGATGGTGATAGGATACCCTGATTGAATTATAGCGATCGCGAACGGCGTGCAAGCATACTACGTTCTATGAGTTAGTATATGCAGTATGGTATTAAGTTACGCTATCACATGTTGATGTGGCGGGAACCGAGGTGCATTCAGAAATGTATACATCGTTTCTTTGCATCCAAGGAGTACATGCACAAGGAGCACGTGCAAAGAATGCGAAAATACGCTTATGATCACACTGAAACTTAAACCGAAACAAGTTCATCGGGAACTACTTTGGCGCACTAACACAGAGCAGTTTAGCTCCGCCCCCGTAGCCTTCTCTTCATTGCCACAGAAAGTTGTCCCTGACTGTAGAAAGCCTGTACTGTGTTATTAGCTATGAATGAAGGAAAGAGTAAATTTGTGGGCTTGTTTCCTTTGTTAGACACAGTATCAATGAGAACTAACAGACAATAATGCCAAGGGAAGCATAGGGACGTTATTAGAATTGTAATGTAAATGTGAAGAAAGAAAAGCGGACAAAAAGATAACTTGCCCCGGCAGGGATCAAACCTGTGACCTTTGAATAATGCTTCCGATCCTCTACCACTGAGCTATGGTGGTGGTCAATCCCCCTGTCCACTTTATAGGATACACACGTCGAAGCATTAGTCAGTGGCACCTGTTGCCATTAAGGCGAGTGTCGAACACTCTCTTTTTTTTTTGCCTGTTTGGTGTCACGTAGTATCTGATCTTATTATGAAATGGCAGCTATCCAATAATCCCTCGCACACCACCTCAAGGCGTCAAGTCTGCCAGAACGACACCCTCATTATATGAATGAAGGAAAGTGTAAACTTAAGGGCTCGTTTTTTTTGTTTTGGAAGCAATAAGCAGTTCGGTGCCTGCCGGTGGCAAGTTATCGTTTTGTCCCCTATGTTTTCTTGGCATTACTGTCTGCTAGTTCTCATTGATATTGTGTTATTAGCTAGGTAGATAATGTGCTTTGACAGTAACTTGGCATTGATGTAATCGGGGTCTGCCCAGAGGACCGGAGCCAGCCAGAGTCTCAGGGAGATGGCGAGGAGAGGAGCCAGGAGCTGTTAACAGTAACTTTTAATTACAATATTTACAGCTAGCGTGTTACGTGATGATGGTAGCATCATGTAAGCCCGCGACGGAAGCATGATGGTAGCTTTTGGGAGCTTGTGAGAGCTTGTCAGGAGTGCCTCGGCACTCGCATTTTATGTCCCGGCCTTCCCAGGATTCCCTGCAGGAAAAAAACAATAGAGGCCAGGACAGTCCAATGAAGTTTGTCATCTTCACCTCCGTCCCCGAAAGGGGAAGGTGAAACACCGCCTCCTTCTTAATTCGCGAAAGGGGGAAGAGTCATGCCCAGATCAGCCCATGGCGAGGGAGAAAACACTGCACACCGCGCACGACACAGCACAGCACGAAGACGTTGAGTGATACGTGGAAGTCAATTTCACAGTCTGTTACAGTGATGGGCATGCAGCGCCAGGCAGACCACAAATTGTGGAAACAGTGGCATCAAGGCGCCACGGAGAATGTAGGAAATGCATCCGCAGGCAGTTCTCAAATGCTGGGCCCTGTGCCCGGGGCACCTTGACCACAAAGCAAGCCGCCTCGACGGCCAACAACTCTTCCTGATCCGTCAGTCGGTCAGGCGTGTCCAAAGGGTTTTACGAGGGGTGCCGACGACCTGGGATAACTAGAAGAACGATTTCTCTGTTGTCACTGCTCTTGGTGCATCTCTGGGAGCGCTGACTCGGAAGAAATCAGGGTAGGCTCAGCCACAATGTCTCATGCGTCAAAGCGGCGTCAAGCTAGGCAGGCCATTCATAACAGCGTCCAGTTGGCTTTGGGTTAATTAAAGCACCTGTTTATTTGTAGGTTGCGTGATAATTTCAGCATAGGTCGAAGCACTGATACCAATAGACTGAATATTTTAATCATGCAATGGAATGGCTACGTTGCTGCCAACCACATCAATGCGTAGGGGTGCACAGCATTACTATTGTGGACAGGAATAAGGGAGAGAAGTGCAGGTCTTTGATTAGATGAATGTAACACTATAAGTGATTGAGACAATGTATAAAAAATATTTGGCTTTATTTTGCAGGCTTGACCATTGAACACAACGTAGATACTATTGAAAAAAAAGAAAAAAAAAGAGAAGACTACAACAAAACATA